ATAATTAAAAATTTGTAGTTGCAATTCTTGTATTAGAAAACTTAGTTAAATCAATTTTTTTTATATTAATATATAAAATAAATTGTCTATCAATAATTTAAACCTTCAAATTAAGTATTATTAACCTGTAGTTTTTCCTTTAACTACAATGATAACAGAAGCTGCTCAACTATAATATGACAACTATAACTTAACAGATTCTATACAAAAGTCTATACAAGACTTAACAAAATACAGAGTGATTTGGGATTTTAAGGTAGAGACAACAATAATAGTATATAAAAATACTAAATATTGCATTCAGTTTATTAACTATGAAATGTATGAAGACACTTCCTATTGAAGTGTATGAAGACACTTAGGTGAAGTGTAAAAGCATTTAGGTGAAGTGTAAGAGCATTTGGATGAAGTGAGGAGCATTTGACTTTCTTGAAGAATCAGAAAGTAGTGCTTTTATAGATATTTTATATGTATAAATTATTACAATAAAGACTACTCTATTACTAATAAATATTATTTATAGTAATAAGAACTAATAGATATAATAAATATAATATATATAATAGATATAAAAGTTATAATAAAAATGATAGATATAATAGATATATAATATCTGTTAGATATGTTAGATATATTAGATATGTTAGATCTAATAGATTTGTTAGAAATGTTAGATTTGTTAGATTTCTAGCACAGTAATATGAGCCAATCAGAATCAAGTCACATGTACTAGAATGTGTGCTTTCATCATAATCATCTTGATCTTGTGATCTCATAATTGAATCATATGATCTTGTGCTCATTAGAATCATCTCAGTAAGCTAAATCCAATGGTGGTTGTTTCATCCAAATTGGTTAGGTACATCAAAAGTTATGATCAAAAATATGTAAAACTCTTAATGTTAACAGTATCTAAAGTTATATGCAAACCAGCAGAAATCTGGCTATAATTTATTTTTGGATTGTTCTTTAGAACAACTACTTTAATATCATTACCAAAATGTTACAGTTATATAAGATTTTTATAATACAAAAAAAATCAGATTTCAAGATTAGGTAAAATTTTATACAATTTAAAAAATTTAAAACAAATGTTTACTATAACTTAATAATTATATAGAAAACTACCTTTAATGTACTAACTTGAATGATTTTATTATTAAAAACATATAACTTTAACATTAGCATAAATTCTAATTCTACTTTAAACAAACTTTAAAATTTTTTTGATTTTTATATAAATACAGCATTTTGATGACAATACTGAGTAAAATTCTAAACACCTACTATTTACATAATTTTTGCTTATAGTAAAAGTTTATCTATTGACTAATAAATTTAATTTGATTTTACATAATTTATAACATTTAAAGTATTATTTAGAAAAACAAAATCTGATCATGATGAAATAAAACAAGTTATATAGAAAGCTTTATTAGAACTGTAAAATTCAATAACAAAAAATAAAATTTAATTCTCATTCATTTAAAAAAGATAGTATAGTGTTATTGCAAATCTGACCTAGGACATGAGGAATCATTATATAATGACCCACAAAATGCACCATGAAAACTATCATAAAACAAGTTCCTTATTTGTAACAGTGTTGATCCTATTGAGAAAAAACTACCTGACCAATTTGGAAGACTGTCAAAGTAAAATTACCTTGACAGGTAAAGTCTGTGGTTGCGTAAATACATCATCAAGACAGAAGTAAAAGTTCAATAAAAAATGCTAAAAAAATGACAGATGGGTTGTAGAAAAAAGAAAAAAGTGTTAGTAAAAAAGGATAAAATAATTCGAATTCCCTTCTTTTTTTCCTTGTAATTTCTTATAAATACAGTTCAGATTCACCTTCTTGTAATGTACCTTTTTCACCTTTGAACCTTTAAGATAGACTCACACTAAATAAAAAAAAATTTATATAATTGATAAAGTTCTAACTTGTGTTCCAGGCTAAAATAATCTGAACATTGCTTTCTTTAAAAACCCTTTACTTATATCTGAATTCCCATGTAATGCTCTCAAAAGCTGCCTTGACCAGTGCCAAATATAACCATTGTAATCATAAAACAGCGAGTCAGTCGCTAATCGGTCAGGTTCCTTGTATAACCACTTATGAAGGTTAATTCTGGTCGAAAGAGGTGCGTTAGATTTGGTGAGCGGTTAACAAGATTTTGGATGGGGTTTACTTAATCGTAGGGGGTTCAGAGTTGGTTATTCAAGATATGCGAACACACTTTTTGTACCTTACGGGTTAGGGATAGATTATATATTATAGCAATGGCAATTACTGTTTAATAAAGATACTCGGTTTACAAGCAACGTTACTATGAGTGTTTAAGCAATGTATTATGTATTATGTATTCGCTAAGGGGAAGTTATTATTCCCGAAGGGCCTTTCGGCCTTTATTTATAATTATCTATTTCTATTTACATTCTGCGATGCATGCGACTGATGCTCCTAAAAGCCCATTCTGACCGATCGCTGCTATCCGTCATATCCGTCATATGCGACCGATGCGACTTATACGACCTATCGGTCGCATACAACGGATGCGACAAATGCGACAGATGCGATCGATCTTCTCCTATTTGGGATATGGCCCCAAGCGGTCAGGGTCCATCCGGGTCCCACACCGTCTCACCAAGTTTTTGAGTGACGTTACGCGACGTCAACAATTCCGAAGCGACAATTCGTCGCATTTCTTTCTTTCCCTAATAGTGATGTCCCGACCCATCTAGCTCGTGTCAATAATAATTACTAAGCTAATTTCTTTAAACAGACGAGAATTAGACCTTATTTTTGACTATCGAATCCTACAGCTCTAATGAAACCTTCTAAATAGTTTATTATTATTATTATTATTATTATTATTTATTATGGTTGGTTTTCGTTTTTTAAAAAAGTACTCTAAACTGTATAAATAACGGAAAATTGAATTGAATTTATCAGCCAATTAGACGAACTTTACTTACCAAATATAAAACTAACCAATCAAGACTAACATTACTCTAACCTTAGCATTTGGTAGGTGCAAAATGACGGTGTCCGGAGACTTTCCACACCTTTTTGCGGTTTGTAAAAAGATGTTTTTCGTGATGACTATAGTGGAGAATTTCAAAGATTCTAGATTTTCTATCAATATGGTTTGGACAAGTTTATATTAAACGATGATCTGTAGAGGTCATACCAACAGGAGGGATCCAAAGTGAATCCCACACACGGTGTGGAACCTGAATGGACCCTGGCCGGTCGGGGTCTATCGCTAAATTAAGGAAGGAGTTGATCGCATCAGTCGCATCAGTCACATCCGTCGCATCCGTCGCATGCGACCTATCAGTCGCATGTGATGCATGTGACGAATGCGACAGATAGCAGCGATCGGTCAGAAGGGAAATATCAGTAGGATACGAATGATCAGTAGCATCAAAGATATCAGTCGTATCCATCGCACAATGTAAATAGAATTCTACAATTATAAATAAAGGCCGAAAGGCCCTTTGGGAAAAAAACAATCCCCGCCCTTGACAAATAAAATAATACATTCGCTAATAAATAATCTGTCCCTAACCTGTAAACACTAACTTCCATCAATACACTTACCTAATAACCAACCCGAAATCTCCCTTTCATTAAGTGAACCCGATTAGAATCCCGTTAACCACTCGCCAAATCTAACACGCCTCTTTCGAACGAAATTAACCCAGAGTGGTTATACGACGTACCCGATTTTGGAGCTACCGACCTGACGATCTTTTACCGTTCACAACGGTGTGATCAATTAAAACTAAAATAAATAATTTTAGTTTTAATTGATCACACCTTTTTGCATACCTCGCGGTTTGCAAAAAAGGTATGATCTCTACAGATCATAGTGTCATATAAAATCACGGGAAATTAGGCGATTTTACAATTCCAGAATCATCGAAATTTCCACTAGCACGAATCATAGGGTCACACCTTCTCACAAACCGTAATAATATGATTACAACGAAATGATAATTCGACTAATGATTAAAAGGATTATCATAAAAACGATTCACATCCTTACTTAACTCATCTCTGCATTCCAAATAAGTATAAACATGATACAGTATTATTGTTCTTCGTCATTTTTCAATTTGCGTTGCTTCAAAAGTGATATATGTTATTTACAAATTTTAAAATAAGTATACTGTACATATTCGGCAAAAATGTTTAAATAATGGTTATATTTATGATCATGATTGGAAAGGAATTTTTGGCTGAGTTTTAATTCGGGTAATGTGATTATTTCGCAGCACATGAAAAAAATAACAGATAGAAATAAATTTATGATCATATGAGTTTGTCGGATAATATATTTTACGTTTATAAAAAAATAATAGACCTCCCAAATTTTTAAGGACTCCAAATCGTTTTTATATGAAAATTAAATGGTTTAGGACCCGAACTATTCATAGATAGATCAGAAGATACTAAAAAAAAAATTTACCATTATATATTTACATAGTAAATTTTACAAAAATAATCAATTTTGGTGTAAATTTAGCATGAAAATAAGCAAATTTAAATCTGGCCTATCTACTATATATCTCGGGTTCTAATGGTTCATAGATTGTAAGGCATATGTGCATTATTTTAAATCAAATAGCACAAATCAAATAATATTTAACGTAAAACGAGAAATGATGAGATTATAAGTACCTCGTAAGATATAAATTCCAATTTGGATTTTTAAAATTTACGAAATTCCGTGGCGGAGTCATGGTCGGGCGCTAGAAATAAATACATTGCCACAAATATTTCTAAATAATTACATACAGATTATGGTCCACAAATATTTATAAACATTTACTTACAGATTATGGCTTAGTATGAATCTTCGAAAGTTTCAAATACCGATACGACTAAAATCTTTGCTTGAATTTTATTTATTGCAGTATTGAACGTTATAAATAGTAATTAAAATCTTGAAGTTTCATTATTCATACTAAAAAATTAAAGATAATTAGAAATGTCTGACATTTCTCATATAATTCCAATGGGGGTTGCTCCAGATAAAAGTATGAAAATTTCAGAAATTGTCTGCTCACCTAATTTAAAATATGTTGCTGCGTTGTACGAAGATGACAATATCAATCTTTGGCCTATTGAGCAACCTGATAAAATAATTAATATTGGCAAGATTCACAAAACAAAAAATGGGGAAAAAATCTTTGCAATTTCAGATAAATATATTTCATTCAGTCTTTATAGAGACCAACCCTATAATTTCAGTAAGTTATGCATAAATTTATATTATTACTATTTCAATAATTCAATATTATTTATCGTATTTTGCTTATTTTCAAGAAATTTTAGATTTTGAAAATGAAAAAGAGGTATTATTAAAATTTCCAGATTGGCAAAAGGAAATTGACTATTTATCCTTTATTGATAACGGAAATGTTATAATGGTCAACGCTAAATATTATAGAGCATATGTTTTTTCGATTGACGATAATATTAGTTGGGCTTGTAAATTATGTAAATCAATGATTGAGCTGAAATATTTTAAAAAAATTTATATTACTCTTAAAGGCAAATTGATCATATTTAATGATACTATTTATGAGATCACGATGTGGGACGTTGAAGAATTATCGATTAAAACTCGTATCTTAATAGATTGGGATTTTACACCTGAATCTATTGAAATTAGCGATGATGAAGAATTATTAATAATATGTGCAAGAAATGAGAAAACTAAGGACACAAATTTATACATTTTTTCCACCGAAACAGGGATAAATCTGTCATTCTGTAAGTCTACTTATTAAAATAAATAACCGATCATGTAAATTTCTTTAATGTTAAATTTTGGTTTTATTTTTAGTTACTACAAAATTGGTAATCAATAGAATCCACTTGATCACTTCTAGAAAAGGAGAGAGATTATTGTATATTACAAGCGAAAATGACTATAATTTAATGGACCCTTATAGCCTAAAATATCCAAAAGATGCAAGTGAGCTTTTTGAAAGGAATGAAATTCCAATTCAAGAACCATACATAATTCGATCGGATGAAAGATCGGACAAAATAATTTATACGATTAATGGAAGGGTTTTAATTGAAGAGCTATTGCCTGATAATTGGATCAAATACTTACGAAAAGAACTGAAGGACACAAATAGAATTACAACTCTGTCTAAAAAGACAATTGATATTATAGCTGAAATTATAGATAACAAATTAACTGACGATTATAATGTTGACAGGGAATTTGAAGGAGAGTATTTAAAATGGGGGTTAGAATTAGACGATAAATCAGTCAGACTTACGGTAATTGATTATAACCATCGTAAAAAGAAATGGAGCCCAGATGATAAAAAAAAGCATCTAGATATTCTCCCATCATTTTATCCTAATGGAAAAATTTTTATATTATCCTGTGAAGTTCTTGAAAATGATGATTTCATTACGATTACACGTATTGGTGTAATTATCTGGACTTATAGAAATTCTGAAATTAAGATGCATTATTATTGGAATTATTGGAATAATCGTTTAGAAGGGTTCGAATTTGAAAGAATAAAGTTTAAAAGTCTACTTAAAGACTGGATTCCAAGAAGAATTCTTCCCGCTTCTAATTACGAAACAATTTATAAAAATTTAGATATTAAATTTGGTAAAGAAGCAGATAAAGAAGCAAAAAAACTTTTCGAAACGTTTTTGGAAGATAATATAAGAGAAGAGTTTTATTTAACTTGCTACGGAAAAATTCTCATGGAAACATTGATTAAATTAAAGGATGATAAATGGATTCGATATTTAGGCGGCAGCTGCATTGATAAGTGTATGCAAGATAATAATCATTTGATTTCTAAAATTTCTTTGCTGAGTATTATTTTTGAAAACTTTAATGAACTATCAGAAAATCATCCTGCATTTATAGCAAGTACTTTATCTTCGATAGGATTTGTAGTGCCTTCTAATATAGTGACTCCAAACTCTAATTCTCCACATCTTTCCAGTTATGGAAAATACTGTCATTTATCTAAAACTTCATTTATTGATATATTAACATCTAATCTTTGGATTCATTGGATTAGTTTTCAACAGAGTTTTCAAACAAATTTCGAAAAATTTCAAGAAAGTCATCCTTTTTTTCGAAAATTCATTATAAATCCAATTAATGAATTCATTGTAAATCCAATTATCGGTTTTTATTATGTAGGCAATACTTCAACCATACTTGCAATTCCTTTACCAAACTTTGTTTCTTATTCAAAAGATTACAATTTATGGAAAGAATTAGTGTTACCTGTTTCCAATTCTTTTACATCTTCAAATAAGGTTGAAGTAATAAATGAGGAATTCTATAGATATTTAAACGGAGAAGCACTACTTAGATTTAAATGGAATACTTATGGAAGAAAATATTATTATGCAGCTTGGGCAGTTTATACTGTTTTTCTTTCTAGTTTCATATATGCTGCGACATATTACGAAAGTATTTCTCAGAATAGACTATTTATTCTCCTAAATGTAGCTATTTATCTTGGGTTTTGGCACATACTTTGTGAAGTACGACAAATTGTTTTCGCTCCATTAACTTATATTAATAGTGCATGGAATTTTTTTGGTAATATGAATTTAATTTTAATGTTAATTATTTATCGAACTCTGACTAATATACTATTATGCTTTTGCTCAAACTAAGATTTAGGTGCATTTTTACTACCAACAATAACGTCAGTTATTTGGCTTCAAAATAATGTCATGCCAACAGAAATGGCTACCTTTTCTACTTTATTATTAGAAATCAAATTTCTTTTATTTTTTCGTGCAACTGAATCTTTGGGTACTTATTTCTCTATGATACTTGGAGTAGCTCAAAGAGGGTTTTCGTTTTTGATTATATTAGGATTTATTTTAGTTGCTTTTGCACACTCATTACACATTTTATTGCGCCCTACTATTAACGTTTCTTTGGATTATCCAAGTTATTCCACTGACCCGAATGATCCGTGGAATTTAGCTTCAACTTATAACGCTATAAATTCTAACGGTAAAATTGAAGACAGTGCTTCACTTATTGAACCTCCTACTGCGACTACAAATATGTTTATGTTGATGAGCACAGCAATTTCTGCTGTTTATATTATGCTAACAGGTGATATTTAAATTATTCTTTTTTTGAAATTTGCTTTGAATCATTGGTGCAACATTTTTATACCTGCTAGTTATATCGACACTTAAAAAATTAAAGAAAGTCCAATATACCCAGATGTCAGTTTAACCAGAGGAATTTTCATATTAAAGATATAGGTTCAAAATTATAAAAAAATGTCGTTATAACTAGATGTCGTTATATCCAGATGTTAATATAACAATAGTGACGTGTGTACTAACATTTAAAATGTGTAAATTTTAATAGGCGATACAACACCAATTTCTTATTGGGATTTAGATAGTAACCCTACTTTACTCATCCTAACGATAATATTTAGTTTCGGGGCAACTATTTACTTGATGAATTTGTTTATCGGTTTACTAAGTAATGCAATAAGTGAAACTAATACAAAAGAATCATATTTAATTTTAAGAGCTGAGGTATGACCTTTATAAACTATTTTGAATATCAGATATATTAGATATATGCCAGGCTATGAACTTTCCTATTTATATCTGATATGCACCAAAATCTGATTTGTATCAGGAATACATAAAAAAAAATATCATAAGAATTTCGAGCAGAAAAAAAATATATTAATAAATATCAGGTATTCCGGTATTTATTTTTTGCCCAAATACAAATCAGATTTTTATGCATGCTTTTGACCTGTATATATGTGTATGTATTTAGATTTTAATTAATTATATAGGTATTAGAAGAAATAGAGCTATTATATTTGTTACCTTACCAACGAAGAAAAGAAAATTGGTTTCCGTTTGTTATGTGAGTTATTTGATTGTATGCAAAAGCAAAATCTTGTTTCTATTACTTATTTATTATTATCTTAAAAGTTTTTATGAATGTCACACAATTTTACTTCGTGAGCATGTAATTGATATTGTCCAAAATAATAATTGGTCTGGTTATAAAAAGCCTTACGTCTCAAAGAACCTTAATGAAGTTCTTCTACTCCCTGAAGAAGAGCCCTCTCTTACAGATATTGAGTGTGCTATTAAAAAGACAGAGACTTCTCTAAAACGAATCGAAAAAACTATTAAAGAGCTGAAAGAATCGATTAATTCTAGTTGAAGTAGAATAGTAATTATTGCGCTTTGTGATCGGACAAAATCCCTACCCGGATAATCATATAGCAACAATTTCTACATGGGTCCAATCTCTATGACCACGATGTCATATAGATCATTTGTTATATAGTCTGCATGCTAAAAAAATTATACGAAAAATCACTAATAAATTTTTTATAATCATATTTAGAAATAATCTAGTTGTCACCGGATTGCAATTGACCAACCAGATCGTGCAATGGAATCAGAACACACGTTAAATTTAATTATCGTTAGGATCAGGGTTGGAGTTGGGTTGGGTTAGTTTAGTATTTATTCTATAGTAAAATTTCGTAAAGGACTTTTTTAATTAGAACACAAAAGGTGGTTTCATAGGCGAAATTTTAAGTTATCGCAAATTTTCGAGAAATTTCAATGTTTTCTTCATTTTCAGCTTACATCTGATTCCGTGATGTCGCCACTGGCACTGGCGGAAAATAGATTCCCCTTATATTAATTTTTGTTGGATTTTTACAACATACATAACAAACCATGCTTGTTACAATGATATTTATTTTTATAAAGATCAATTTAAAAGGAATATGCTTGTATATATTAATATTACAAAGTTTGCCTAGGTGGTTTCGAATTCGCCTAAGTTACACGAATTTGATTGGTTAGATCATGATTTTTGTAAACAAATTATATTACGAATAATTATGATAATAAAATAAAATAATAAAAATTTGGGATCTCAATTTGAAAATTTAAGCTTTGCCAAAACTAAATCTTAATTCAACTATAAAAAAAGTTAATAACGATCTTTGAAAATCATTACACGCATGTGACATATTTATGTGGAAACATCTGACCACTCGAGTCAGAAATTGAACTTTACTAAATAGATTTTTTTGATAGTGCACAAGCCGAGACTAGCTATGCTCCTGGAAATAGCAATTACGATTTCGCCGGGTATAACTGCCATTCCCACTACAGGAGAGACCGTTGATGTTACACGACTGTTCTTCACCCGGTGTGCAACATATAAAAAAATTATTTTACAATACCAGATCATTCCATTGGGGATATATCAAATTAGGAATCACATTTTCGAATGATCTTTAATTTGATTAGTTTTCATGTACTTTTTACAGTATTTGTTGTAAAAAATTTTTTTAAATAGAAATTTATTTTTAAAATACTATTAGATAGTAATTCAAGATATCTAGTTTAAATAATCAATAATAATCCACCAAGATCCACTTTCCTTATGAAAGTAAATGAGACTTAAAAAAAAGTATAGTTTTCATTATTTGTAATTCGAAATTGATTTAATTTCTACATTTTATTTTTTTAGATATATAATATGGGTTGAACTATAGTTTAGCATATACTAATGCATACAATAATTATGATGTGATATTATCAAATTGATACTATGCTGTGGAATGTAGTATTTTAATAAATACATTCCAGAATTTGTTTTTGTTTACTTTGCATCAAATAAATTTGAATAAGTGTGATTCAATCAAACCTTTATTTTAATTTCTTGAGATAAGCTGTAATTTTATACCATTCTATAATCCTTCTATAGTATTTGTATATGTACCTGTTTTGGGATTTACAAAATTTTTTGAATAATTAACAGTTTTATATTTGAAGTCTAAATTATCATTATTTAGATAATCTTTTTTTTTTTTAATATTAATAATGAGATCATGCCTCTATCTTTATTAAATATTTAATTGAAATTTTTCATAAGTATAATTCTGCTTTTAAAATATTATAGAAAGAATAGAAACTCAGACTAATTTATCTGTAACCTAAATTAATCAGAATGATCAAAGCTAATCTAGATTTAAGTGTTAATAATTATGTATAGGAAGATTAGTTTGATATTTAATTCATTAGATATATTAGGAGTTTATTTTTAAACTAATAGAATTGAGTAGAAGAGAATATGATAGAAGTAAAGCAGTATTTGAAAGTGTGTCATATTCAGAAGGTTGAGTTGTAGATATTGAGATACAATATAGAATTCAGATTTTATAATAGATTTGTTGATTAAGATGAAATAAGAACTTGATAACAAGTATTGTGACTACTTTTTTAAATGACAAACTTGAAATAATATTAATAAGTTCATTTGGTATTAGACTGGTTAGAGTAGGCATTAAATTATGTTCTGTATATTTTTAATGTTTTTTGTAAGATTTAAAAATTTTAGATCAAATTCATTGGTACTAAGTAATGTAAGCTAACAATTATTGTAATCTGTAAAACATGTTTCTGAAAACATATAGTTGATGTGGCACAGTAATGTAATTTATGGTATTACTGTCATTATTCTGATAGTAATTTCTACTCTTGAAATTTGATTATATGATATGTTAATAGTATAATAGCTTTTTTTTTATATTACTTATTTAATCACTAATTTTCTATTTCATGTACTCTATATATTTAATTTCCTATTTTATATATTTTATACAGTCAATTTTCTATTTTATAGCTTGTATACATAGCATAGTATTATTATCATATATAGTTATACATAAATGCAAAATCATTTAATACTGTAACTATAAATCAAAATTAATTTTTTTGTTGTTTACCTTTCATATTACAGTTGTTTATATCAGCTTTATTGAAAAGTCATATTTGTCATCTTTATTTGGCAAGACCACAGATAAAAAGTTATCTATCAATAATAATAATTATTGTAAACAAAAGGGCATTTACTTATTATTGTATGCAATATTGTATATAAAGGCAACTGTATCAATAATGATGCCTTGATGTCTAAATATAATTAAAAGATAGATAAAAGAGTTTTGCAGAAGGTGTAAACTAACAAATAAACAGCAGAGATAAATAGATCATTAATTTATATATATCAAATTATGTATTTAAGATCTGGTTTTAGAACTTTAATAAAGACAGATTTCAATTTTATTTGATATTTATAAAAATCTCTTATATACATTAAATTACTTTATTGTATTGTTATTTTATTGTGAATACATCTTTATAACCTTAATATCATTGTCATAAATACATCTTTATAGTTTTAGTATTATTATTGTGAAAACATTTTTATAATTATATAAATTAATCTCTAACTTAATTTGTATCTTTCTTAACAATATTACTATACTTAAAATATTAAAACTATTCCTCTTGATTCCACATATATTTACCTATTATTGTTACTATTTTGTGTTATACAGTCTATTTCATTTACTATTACTAATCTAAACTCAGCTCTTACAGATGCTTTTCTGAAATTTGATAGTAACTTAGATGCTAATTGTGTAGAATATCATATTGCCAGATTTCAGAATTGTATAAACAATTTTGAACAACATTTTAGAAATACTAAAGAACATGAGATTCACTATTATATATTTAAAAAAACTCTCTAAAGGATTAACTATTTTATATAGTATTATTGAAATAACTCTTCTCCAGTTTGTTATCCTTTAGAGCTTCTTTCTCTACAATTTTAAAGATTTTGAATTTGGTTTAGCACTTTTAGCCAGCTATTTCTTTTTCTTAATATTCAATATACTAAATTATAAAGCTTAGTAAATTTGATATAAAGAGCATTTCAGACAGATTGCTAAACTTTTTTATCTTTAGTTTCTGATATAACAATCACTCTAATAATATTTCTATACTAATAAATAAAATTTTAACTGCTTATTAGAAAACTTATAAATTTAATTCTGATTCTTTTAATGAGACCTACAACAATAATGACATATTTGCAAAAGACATCATGGTTTAAAATAACATTTATCTCTAGGTTCTTCTTTTAATTGATTCTAAAATAATGATTAGCAACAGCCTGTAGCTCTAAATAACTAGTCCAACCTTCAAAATAACTTTATAATGATTCTGGCTCACTAAATTGAAAATCCCATTCTTCAAATACAATATACTCTTATCCTACAGATTAATATCTCTGTTTAGAACTAAAAACTCAATCTGGTTTCTTATTCTGACTTTTTTAATAGTGAATAAAACCCTATTACCTAGCTAGAAGATGTTAAGAAAGTGTTTGAGACCAACCAGGTCTCAGATAACCAAAAAATTGTTATAATTATTTCTTATTTGAAAGATATAGCAGCTACTTGGTAAGTTGCTACTAAAGCAATATGACCTCCTATTGACTAATAAAGTGATTCCAACAATGTAGAACAAAGTTTCCATTCTTATTTTATTGCTTAATTCTAAACTCTTACTCTTGAGAATAAATAGTTTACCTAATTAATTCAGTGAAAACAAAAGCTTACTAAAAACATTAACTCTTATTATATATCTATTAAAGAACTCCTTAAGCATGTTGAGTCAGGAGACTATTGTTATTCAGAAACAGCTAAAGCTCAAATGTTTATTAACAGTCTTAGGTCTAAGCTTTTCACTACTATTACTTTTTTTATATCTAATAAGTTGTTAGTCACCTATAAACATGCAAAGGCTTTTGAGAATTTCTTTAAACAAAACTTTTCTTCTATAATTCATATTTAATATTGTTCTTTTAGGTTTTCTATAATCCAGTTCCACAATCTAGTTTGTTATATCCTACTGTGATTAGATCTGTTAATCCTCTAACAGTATTATTTTCTAAGACTGAGAAGGTTTTTATCAAGATAACTGAGGTGTTAGCTATAATTATAACAAAGCTTTAAAAGCAGAAATAACTAACTCGATATAATTAATCAAACTGAAATAATTTTTTAAGATATTCTTGTAACTATTATAGACAAGTGGATCACTTTATTTGAAATTGCTTCAATCTTTTATCTTAGAATAATTTTGGCACAACAGTTATAAAAAATAATGCTATTCCTTTTGAACAGACTACCTTATCAAAATAACTCTTTATCTATTAACAACTAGTGCATCTTAGCTTAAAATGAAGAAACTGAGACTCAAACTTTTTTGAATCTCCACCTTGATGAAGACAACACTTTTTTATTTTTGCAGAAGACTCTAAAAGACTTTTTGGTTTTATTTGTAGTAAAAGATAACAGACTAAGAAATAAATATATAATAAATCTGCTAATAAATTAAGAACTTCTGCTGATAATAGAGAAGAGTTTAAAAAGAAGGCCACTAAGAAATCCAGATCATATAGAGAGGCAAAATAGTTCTAGTTAGGAAAAAGAAAGCTGAAAACAATGCTTTCAAATTTCTGCTTTGATTTTCTAATATTTCATTATTGCTAATGTTCACAATAAACCCACCAAGATTATATCTGAACAGTTGTTACAGGTGGTCCTCTCTTTCTATACAGACCTAGTCAAAGTCTTTAAAAAACAAAGGTTTCCAAGAAGTGAACTTATACTTTTGTTAATCTTTAGTCAACTTCTAAATCTACTGCCTTATACTGTGATGCTATGATTCATGATAGAGTAATTCCTTTTATTATTGATAGTGGTTTGTTTATAAGTGTTGTGTCATCTCACTTGTTTAGCAAATTAAATATTAAAGTAGAAAGATCCTTAATAATAAAAATGATTAATGTCTATAGTTAAAGCAAGAGAGCTATTAGTAATATTTCAAACTTCTCTTTTTCAGAAGAGTCATAGTAGTTCTTGTTAATATGATAGTTATAAATACTCTAGTGTATCAAGCTATTGTTGAAATTGACTGGCTTTCTAAAATCAATGCTAACATCAATTACAATGTCGTTGAAATAACTTTTTAATGAGAGAATTAAGAAGTTGTTATTTTTGTTAAGTTTAGAAAAGTATAACACACTTTTATTCAGGAAGGTCATCCACCAAAAGTTATAAAGACTTGACTGACTGTTAAGAATGATCTCAAAAGTTCAGACAGTAAAGAAGTAAAATTTGATTCTAATTACAAGAAAAAGAATTAAAGAACTGCTTTTGGATTTTCTGAGGATGAACAGATGATTTTTCAGTATATATGTAGTAATAAATCTAATATGAATTACAATTCTAAAGATAATTCTGTAACCTTTCAATATAATGTTTGTCTTGAAGGCCTGAGCACAAGAGATGCTTGGTGGAATATGAACAGTAATGATGAGTATTTACAAGAGAAAGATGAAAATCTCTTTGACTTTGCCAGTAATAAGCAAAAACTAAACCATGAATTTTTCTTTAATAAAGTTGAAGAACTTACTTAGAACTTGGATATAGAAGAATTGTAAAATGATGATTACAACAAACTAAAAGAGTTGCTAGTAGAATATGAAAATCTCTTTGCATAAACCTCTCAGAATCTATGCCATACTAACTTTACTGCCCATTCTGTTTACTTTGATAAAGCTTCTCCTGTTAAACAAAGATATTACTGCACCTTCTCTAAAGAATGTAACTTTCTGAATGATAAAATTAATAAAATGCTTTAGAACAATATTATTTAACCCTCCTATAGCCCCTGGGCTTTACCTATTGTACTTGTTAAACAGTGCAAGAAAACAAGGTTTTGTGTTAATTATTAATAACTTAATGTTGTTATGAAAAAAGATAGTTATTTACTATTATGAATTGATTCTCTACTAAATATTTTTTAACATTCTTTCTGGTATATATTTCTTGACCTTACAAGTAGCTATTGGCAGATTAAGATAAGTTCATTTAACAAAGAATAAACTGCATTTATATCTCAATTTGACACTTTTAAGTTTAATATAATATTTTTTGATCTTACCAACATTTTTGCTATATTTCAAAAGCTCATAAATAGAATTTTTTAAGAGGCCATTATAAAATACTTAGCTGTTTATCTAGATAATATTACTATCTATTTCTCTACATCTGATGAACATATTCAATATATTGCAAAGGTTTTTGATCATTTTCAAAATGCTGAACTCAAGTTAAATTCTAAGAAATACCATTTTGCCAAAAATGAGCTTAAGTTTCTTGGTTATGTAGCCAGCCAAAATAGTATTTTTACTGATCTAAAAAAAGTAAATATTGTTGAAATTTCTTTACTCTCACTAACCTATGCCAATTATGTAAATTCATAGAACTTGCTTTCTACTATCATCAATTTATTTATAATTTTTCTAAAATTTCTGTTCTTTTAACCAACTGCTAAAGAAAAATATTAGATATGTTGGGATTTAGAAACAAGAAACTGCATTTAATGTTTTTAATACAAACTTATTACAGCCTCAATTTTAGCTTATTCCAATTTCTCATAAGAATTTCTTTTGTTTACTGATGCATTAGATATTATTCTGGAAGCTATTTCTTACAAAAAAGTTTTAATAAAAAAAACAAGTTATTTGCTATACTAGTTGAATAATGACTCGATCTAAAAAAACTATTTTGGTAACTAAACAAGAATGTCTTGCTGTTGTTTGGCCAGTCACTTCCTTTTAATAGTATCTTTATGGATCCTAATTTACCCTTTTTATGAACTATTTAGTTTTTAAATCTTTACTAAAATATCAATTACCCAAAGGTTGTTTGGTTCAATAGGTTCTAGCTTTACAGAAATATGATTTTATTGTTAAACAATATTCAGAAAAATACTATTTAATGCCAATAGTTTTTTCTGACTTACTAATTCTTTCATTTCTAAATTCAGAAACTTTACCCTTTTTATTTGTTATAATTATCATTAGCCAAGCCATTATCTTCATAAATATCTTTTTAACACAACCCAAAATCTTGAACAAAACACTTGCTTTTATTTCAATAAACCTATTCAATTTTGACTAGCTATATTCTTGCATCTTATTATATACTATTTCTATTTTAACTTTTTGACTTTATTAAACATTTATATCAACTTATATCTTACAATAGATCTTAATCAATACCAAACATATTTGAAATTTCTTAACAACTCTAACTATAGGCTTGAATTACAATTTTAACAAAAAAATCATTTAAAATAACAAACTTAGCATTTCATAATTATTAATAATATGTTATATATATGATATTATCAACTACTCCATCAATTACTAAGAGTGCTGTTAATTTATGAAATTAAACCTATTCTTTTTAGCATGCATTCTGATTCTATATTAGAATATTTTAATATTTAGTCCATCTTTTAGCATATATCTGTCTGATATTTCTGATTACAGATAAGTGAAAATGTTAAACAATATGTCAGATCATATATGCTTGTTAATATAGAGGAAAACCTCAAGCTTGTGAAATATTATACATTATAAAGATAGGTTAACCTTTTGATAGAATTGGTATTGATATTATCAGTTCTTTAACTCTCACAAAATTAGAAAATCATTATATAGTAGTTACTATGAAGTATCTTATTAAATGACCAGAAGACATGTTATTCCAAATAATTCAGCTATCTCAGTTATCTTATTCTTATTGAAGATATTTTGTTGTAATATAAAGCTTCTGTGAACTTCTATTAGATTAAGAAAGACATTTTGTTAATTAGCTTATAAATTCTTTCTGCATTTAATTGCAGATTGATTACAGATTCTCTTCTAGCTATTATTTGCAATTTAATGGTTTAGTTAAACACTTTAACTAGACTTAATATAAAGTCTTTTCAAAATGCATTATACAGTTTTCAGATAAATAAGATTAGTATATTTCTTCTGCATTGTTTGTCTATTATATCACTAAACATTTTATTATCCACTATGAACCCTTCTTTCTTCTATACAGAAGAGATGTCAATTTGCTAGACAAAGTTAGTTAATTGATACTCAAGTACCCTTCATCTAGTAAGCAAGAGTTATAAAACAATATTCTTAAAAAAATAGAAACTCTGTTAGGAGACCTTTCTCAAGCTCAAAACCAAACTCAAAAAAGAATGATCCTTTTTCAGAAATGATAAAAAAATAGATATAATTAATTCTATTCAATGTTAATTTGTAATTTTTTTTTAAATATAATAATAACAGAAACTGTTTAACTATAATATAATGACTATAACTTGACAGATTCTATACAAAGTCTATACAAGACTAACAATATATAGTGACTTAGGATTTTAAAGCAAAGACAACAATAGATAATATATAAAAATACTAAATATTGCATTTAGTTTATTAACTATAGAATATATAAAGACATTTAACTTTCTTAAAAGATCAAAAAATACTGTTTTTATAAATATTATATATATATAAATTATTATAATAAAAACTACTATATTGGACGCAAATCACTAACTCTTTCCGACGATCACTTGTACCAAATCCTTTCTAAACAAAACTGCTCTTTTCTCAAATTATTA